TTGTTTTTAAGATTAATTTTTGTTATTTGAAATGTGGCAGTTACAGAGAGAATGAGAAGCCAGAGAGAGCTCCTCCATCCCCAAATCGTCGCAGTGGCTGGAGCTGAGCTGATCTGAAACCAGGAGCGTCTTCCAGGTTTTCCACACGGATGCAGGGTCCCAAGGCTTTGGGTCGTCCTCTACTGCTTTCCCAGGCCACAAGCGGGGAGCTGAATTGGAAGCATCTTAGCCACTAGGACAAATGCCAACCTCTTAATCCCCCATTTTTATGCACACTCTCTGGTGTCTAACCATATTGTCAGGATAATTTTTCTATTAAAAAAATATGGATTGGGCCCGGCGCGGTGGCGCAAGTGGTTAAGGTCCTCGCCTAGCACGCCCGGGATCCCATATGGGCGCCGGTTCTAATCCCGGCAGCCCCGCTTCCCTTCCAGCTCCCTGCTTGTGGCCTGGGAAAGCAGTCGGGGACGGCCCAAAGCTTTGGGACCCTGCACCCACATGGGAGACCCGGAAGAGGCTCCTGGCTTCGGATCGGCATAGCATCGACCGTTGCGCTCACTTGGGGAGTGAAACATCGGATGGAAGATCTTCCTCTCTGTCTCTCCTCTCTGTATATCTGCCTTTCCAGTGAAAAAATAATAAAAATAAATCTAAAAAAAAATATATGGATACATGAATCTATGTTTATGTTGAATATGTGAAGATGTTTTCTCCAAGTTCTTAAAAACTTCAATGGATAAAAACACACATTTTGGCTCAAAGAAATCAAAGGAAGAAAAATAACATTGTCTTGTTTTTCTCCACTGGCTTTGAAGAATACAAACAGCTGTTTTGTGTCACTGTGGACAGTCTGTGGAAAATCGTCTGAATGAAATAGAAAACTTGGGATGACTAACATTTCTCGAGTTTGAGAAATACTGTTTTTCTTGAAATAAGACTTTAAATCACAGGGTTGTCCAAAATTAAAGAAATAGGGGCTGGCGCCATGGCATGACATGTGGCACCAACATTCCATACGATGGCTGCTTTGAGTTCTGATGGCTCTGTTTCTGATCCAGGTCCCTGCTGATGGCCTGGGAGGTAGCAGAGAATGCATGGGCCCTTGGGTGCAGAAGTCCTTGGGTCCCTGTACCCACATGGGAGACCCTGAAGAAGCTCCTGGCTCTCAGCTTAGGACCAGCTCAGCTCCGGCCATTGTAGACATTTGCCAAGTGAACCAGCAAAGAGATTCCCTCTGTTTCTCCTTCTTTCTAACTCTTTCAAATAAATAAATGCATCTTTAAAAAAAATTAAAAATTCTTTCATTAAAATTAAGGCCCCACCCACAAAACTACAGAAATTCACTTCGGCTGATTTTCTCCCTCTCTACGGCAGGGGACACTAGTAAGTGTAATCCATCGGCCTGACCAAGGGACCGACCCCACGACCTTCAGCTGTGCCCTTTATGTTAAAGCATGGGTTTGTCCTTCCTATGCAAGGAGGGCCAGAGACAGGGAGTGGCTGTCCTGGAGGGAAGTCTTCCATGTGAGCCCCAGAATGAATAGTGAGTTGATGCAAAAGGGAACTAGCTCAGTTCTATCCGCATTGACTTCCTTCTGCAACCCAGAGAGCCACACCAATGTCAGGCAATGTGCTCCTAATAAAAGCCAAGCCTCTTGCATGGGAGCGCTCCAAAGGGTAAACAGAACAAATTCTTTATAATTGGTCTCATTTGTTTATAGTATCAGTTCTCCATTAAAAAAAAATTATTTGTTTGAAAAGCAGACACGCAGCGAGAGATAGTGAAATCTCATTGATTTCACATTCATTGAACAGTGAGGGCTCGGGTTAGGCTGAAGCCAGGGGGCCAGAACTCAACCCAGGTTTCCCACATGGGTGACAGCGACGCGAGGACTTCAGACCTCATCTGTTACCTCGCGGGGTGCACATGAGCCAGAAACGAGACTGGCAGCAGGGCAAGAACTTCAACTTAGGCATTCTGATATGGGAAGAGGCATCTTAACTGCTCCATCAAACACCTACCCCTGGTTCTGTCACTCCTGAAATGAATGATGGTTTATCATGTATGCTTGCCTAGAAAGTGTTAGAAGGAAGAGGAACACACATGCAAATGCAAAATGAGAGTGGTTCCTCTTCCCCATTGGTTTTTCTATATCCGACTGAAGAACGACCTTCAGAAGAAGAGAGATTCCCACTGTCACCATAAACCAGAGACCCTCCTCCCTCCAGATGGCCGTGTCCACCCAGGAAGCATGGCGCTCATTCCGAATGAATTAGGCCAGGGAAATATCTCCTTCTACTTCCTTGCCACGGGATGGGTGCTTTGCAAATATACGGTTTGAGTGAAGATACCTGTCTTCAGGAAGCTACAGGAGAAGAGGACAAGACTAGATTAAAAAATTTAAAAACACAGAGAAATCCAACTGGCATTCCTAAAAAACCTTACTGGCCTTGATGGACACCTTATCATACAAAAAAAAAATAATAATAATTGAGGTTTCTGGAAAGTGCATTCAAACAGCAGACCAGTTCTTTCTCCTACGCAGTGGGTTCTGGTGGGAATGAGCCCACAGCTGAGACAACAGGACCCAGAGGCAAGCTCCCCACAAACTAGTCCATCATCCTCTGGACTTGGCTCTGTGCATCTTGGCCTGTGGACCTGAATCTGCAAAGCGTCAAGAGCATTGATTCAAACAGAGAAAAGCCGAGTTCCTTCTGGGCCTCCAAGGTCAGAGCTGAGCTGATCCAAAGCAAGGGACCAGGAGTCTCTTCCAGGTCTCCTGCACGAGTGCAGGATCCCAAGGACTTAGGCCATCCTCCACTGTTTTCCCAGACCACAGCAGGGAGCTGGATCAGAGGTAGAGCAGCTGGGACACAAACCAGCAACCATATAGAGATGCTGGATGTTTGCAGGTGGAGAATTAGCCAGTTGAGTCACTGTGCTGCCCCACACCCTACCTTTTTCTTTTCAAATTTCAAAAGCACGACTCGCTGCACTTTCAAAACACACGATGTTCTCCTGGGTGAAGCAATAGGATGAACAACAACAAAGCTCAAAACCCAACAACAAAACAGTATGGCAATGTTCCTGGAGGCACCATCCTTCCACGCCACACTTGGCTGGAGAGCTCTAGCCTACAGAGCTGCCTCAACAACAAGCTCCCCCGAATTACTGATGAGGAAGTACAAATACAGCAATAGCAGAGAGAGGAGCTTAGAAAAATACGGGCTCTGGTCTCCTGTAAGTTCAAATGCTGTACCGGCTGGCCACTAGCTGGTGTGACCTTGAGACAAATGGCTCCACCTGGCGCTGCCCAGCCGTCTTCCCCCTCCTAACACTGCTTTCCAGGGGTAAGGTGAGGGGCACTGAAATAGCTCAGGTGGGCTGCCTGCTCCTACTGGTGGCTCTACTAACAATCAGCTGCCTTTCTCATTATGCTGATCGCTTTTCAATGAAAAGCCACATCTTGCAGTAATTTTCAGCATTTCTTTTTCTTTTCTGGAGAAAATAACCCTTAAGCTCTAAGTATCACATCCAAACTTAACTACCCAAAGAACTGGCAGAACAGACTCCCCAGGAATGAGCTTGGGTCGCAGCAGGCAGCATGAGCAGGGAGGCAGCCTCAAAGTCCTCATTTCCGCTGGAGCCTGTTCGCTGTGGGTTGCTTGGTGCTGCTGCCTGCCACATAGCTCAGGCCTGACATCAGAGCTGGCCCCTGAAGCGGGCTTCTGGGGGCAGACTGAGGGCCCTGTTCTCCCTGGGATGGGGGGCTGCAGGGGCATAGGGGCGGGGGTGGGGACAGCTGGTGTGACCACCCTGTCTTCTTCTGGAAGCCAGTCCCCATTCCCCCTGGCACATCACAAGGGCACATTCCTTTTAACCACAGCCTGCAGCAACACCCCAGCTCTGACCACGCCCTGATCTGCCAGGAAAACAAACAAGCCTTTGAGTCCTTTGTGAGAAAAAATCAAAGAGCAGCTGAAAGTCACTTTAAAGACAGAGGAAGAGAAGGAGCCAGGAGCGTGTGAGCACACAAGCCCACTCTAGCACACACTGTTTACTACGACAGACAGACCCAACCGGCAAGGAGAAATCATTTGCCTGGAAGTATTTGATCACACTTTTTTTTTTAGGCTGTTGCTGCCCAAGAAGGAAGGCACTCAACCTTTTAGAGCCGACTTTTGGAAACACACACAAACCCCCGTCGCAATGCTCTCACCTTGGGGTAGGGGAACACTGCTTGCCAAATTCCAACGCGCCTTGGCATGCTAGTGGTCAAAATAACAAGCGAGTCCTTAAGTGAGACGATAAAGAAAGTATTTCCCCTTGACACTGGGGAAACAAAACACCTTCCACGTGACCTCCACACGGGGTTGCTTATCTTAAAGGTGCGCAAAGCAAACACAACCCCTTTCCCAATTTTTGCTTTCTCAGGAACAGGGCCTTGTTAGAGAGGCCGGCAGGGTACCACCCCCTGTGAGGGACCACTGGGTGTCACAGTGCAATTCTGCATTGCTGGAGTGAGCCCAGGTTGGAAACCCATCCTATTACGATAGCTTCAGGTGCACTCAGCTCTTAACAGAAGCTGGGCAAAGTACTCCCTCTCGCAGCTGAACGCCCAAAGACCTTTGCTGTCTGCTCTCAGACAATGCTCAACAGCTGTAATGCACGCACACACATACGGAACCAACACAGGTAGCCACTCGGACCTCCAGTGGCTGGGCAGTACAAACTCTTTCTCTGGGCAGAATCATTCTGCACTTTACACACACACACACACCCCAGCACCCCTGAAAGCTTCCTCAGGCTGCTTGCAGCAGCGACCCTGGGGAGCCCATTTCCCTATTCAAATCGGGCCAGGGGGTGGAGTTCGCTTTCATTTTTTTCTGAACTTCACAACAAACTCCGTCCGAAACAACCGGCACAGGATGTACTGCCAGGCAAGGTTATGGTAGATTTTTTATGTTTAAAAAAAAAAAAACCGCCAAGGAATACTTACCTATTTGGTCTTCGGGGATCAGTGACTCAATGGGGGGGTCCAGCTCCGAGCTCTGGGACAAATAGTTCTTCACCTGGGTCATGAACTGCCGGATGGTCTGCAGCAAGTCGGTGCTGGACACATGGCATTCCTTGTTCTCCTGCAGGAAGCTCACGTAGTCCTGCACCAGGCACCCGAAATAGGTGCACTTGTCCCGGGACAGTTCGGCGATCCTGCGCACCATCCGCTTCTCCGGGGTCATGAAGGAGCTGAAGACGCCGCTCATCTTCCGCAGCTGGGACTTGACAAGCTTAGGCAGCACGAAGGAACTGTTCCTCTTCTTTTTGGACTTGATGGGGGGCGCCATGGTCTCCTGGTCACTCTCCCCTTCGAAGTCCTCCAGGCTGCTGTTGGTGTCCCCCTCGTAGCCAAAGAGAGGCATGCTGCGGTCGAACTCCAGCGAGTCGGAGGAGGAAGTGGAAATGCTCATGTCGCTCAGCCTCTGCCTGCCTCCATGGCACGGGGGCTGTGATTCAGAGCTGGGAGGCCGGGCCCTTGTGCAATCCCCCGGGGCGTCTGCAGGCGGGGCGCCACCTGGGCTGCCAGCTGTGCAGAGCTCGGGCTCCGGACCGGGACGCCGGCGGGTCAAGGTCTTTGAGCTTCCCTCAGCTTCCAGAAAAGAAGCCTGCTTCTTCAGCCGGGGCGGAGGGATGGGGGTTGGTTTCGTTCCAGGCGGAGCTACGTTCCCATGTTTGTTATGGTTGACTGTTTCTGGCATGCTCGTCTGGGTTTCAGTCCCGGCCAGCCGAGGGCTTGTGTGCAGACTATTAATAGTGGGTGGCGGGGGCCTGGGCGGCGGCGAGCGAGGACGCTCGGGGCCATTGGCGTTGGGAGTCCTGGTGCTCGGCCGCTTGAGGCCTGCCCCGAGGTCCTGGCTGTGCACTTTCAAGAAAAGGGGATTAATGAAACACAAGGCTCCGTTGGTTTGGCTGCACTCCAGCTCCGAAGGCGTCCTCGTTTTTATAGAATGCACTCCATTTATAAGGCAGAGCTGCCGCAGCGGGGCTGAGCAGCCACCGTCGTGGGCGTCGGCGTCGGCAGAGGGAGGCCTATGGGGAGGTGGAGGGTTTGGGGGTTTGTTGTCAGCTGGAGAGCTCCAAAAATCTGAAAGTCATTATCAGTGAACACAAGAATGTAAATACATTACACTGGGGCCACTCCTGCACAAATCACAAAGACAATGCGTGCCCCGGATGGGAGGCGCGGGCACGCGGGGCTAGGGGTAGGTAATTTTTCTTTGAGTTTTTTTTTTGCTTTTACTGCATTCCCTTCCTGGAAAGGGCAGATGGGTTGATGGGCTGCCAGGCCCAGCTGTGGGCTCATGAGAGGGCTCCGGGAGCCTTCCACCTTCCAAGCCTTTTCAGAAGTGGCTGGGTGGATGCATGGCTCCAGTCCAGCCCTCATACAGGCACAGAGTGAACTGGACCCGCTCACACACTGCGCAGGGCCACCAGGGCTGCCACGGACGCCCCGCCTGGCTTTGAGCAAAAACGAGTCAAGGCTCGTCTCAATGGGAGAGCACCCCACCCATGCACTAGTCTCTCTGGGGATGCCCTCCACCATGGCAGCTGCCAGCCAAGGAATCAAGACTCCAAACTTCCCCTTTAATGGGCAGGCTAGCAGCTGCTGGGCCTGTGGGATCTTACACAATCCCCCTTGGGCTTTTACACATTCAGCATTAAAAACTCCAAAAGGAGGCAAAGTATAATTAGGAATCCCATCAGCACACACAAAAAAAGCAAACTAAAGCAAAAGTCAACATCCAGGGCAGGTGCAAGCTTTGATCCTTGAGTTTGCCTCCTCTCCCACCCGCACCCCCAACCCTCCAACCTCCTTCCCAAGGTTCCTCGGAGCAGTGTGGGCTGGCTCAACGTATCTATCTTGCTTGTGTTTTCCATATAAATTGGGGGAGATAGTGATGTGAAAATGTGTATGTTATTTCCATTTGGAATAGGGAATACTCTTTCCCTCTGCATTTCAAGTAAATGAATTCATCTTTAAAAACCATAAATTTCTACTCAACTGCAGTAGCCTGTTGGCAACCTGGGTACAATCCGGAGGGTATTCTCCCTTTTCCTCTAGAAGGAAAAGGTTTTTGCAGAATTGAAACCAGGGCTGACACAATGGCTCAACAGGTTAATCTTCCACCTGCAAGCACCAGCATCCCAAATGGGCACCGGTTCGTGTCCCGGATGCTACACTCCCCATCCAGCTCTTTGCCACGTCTGGGAAAGCAGTGGAGGATGATCCAAGTTCTGAGGCCCTTGGCTGCCGGCCTAGGATTGGCTTAGCTCTGGCCTTTGCAGCCATTTGGGGAGTGAACCAGTGGATGTAAAATCTTTCCCTTCTGTCTCTCCTCCTTTGTGTAACTTTGTCTTTGAAATACAATTTAATATTTTCTTTTAAAGTGATATCCACATGGATTCCCCAGGGTACTGGGATGAAAAAGTTACACAGAAGAGCCCAACATCCCGGTCCATAGTGAATCACTGTCTGGCAGAACCCAGGGTTGAGGGAGGGCCAGCAAAGGCAGAGGGGAAGGGGGTGGCCAGCTGCCGGGACAAGGGTCCTTCAGGGACATTGGCCAGAAGGACAGGGTGTGAATTGGACAATGAGGGTACAAGGCAGACCGGGGTCTCCTTAGCTACCCGTATTGTGTGTGCCTGTGCCTCAGTAATGGAGTCACACACAGGTCTTGTCCCAGCAAGCAGCCACATTCCAGATGCACCTGTGCCCTCAGCACTCTGGTACTTCAGGAAACCCAGATCAATGGGGCTGGGGAGATCTAGGGGGCGAGCCAGGCCCTCAGCCCAGTCCCCGGCAGAGTGGGCCCTCAGAAAGAGGAGCCTCGTGGCCCTGTAGACAGCCCTGTCTTGCTGTGGCAGTGGGGGTAAGTCTGGAACCCGAGTGTGTTTGACCAAGCAGTGTAACCTCAGCCCAGGGGTGACTGCTCCAGACCCGGGGGGCAAGGGCACCCACTTACTTAGTCCCAGCTGAGCTAGCTCTTCAAGTTGAGCCTCGGTCTTGGCTATGGAAATGGCATAAGGCAACTTCAAGGTGAATGGCAGAACATCCCTGAGGTTCCAGAGAGAGAGAGAGAGAGAGAGAGAGAGAGAGAATGTTGTCATGACACGTCTGGCTTGCAATTCTGGCATGCATTTTCACCTGAGGGACGTCTCAGCGTGTCCTAACAAATACCATGTGTCTTACATAAACATCGTATGATTCCCTAATCATGACTTCTCTTTCCTAATAAAGGACTCCGCACTTCCTGTGCCTGTCGGTATCATCCCAGGTGGGACAGGCCGGGTGACAAACAGCCCTGCTGGGTTGCTAAAAGGCTACGTAGTTCACAGCACAATTGCTGTCCCTGGTGGGGGATGAGTGCCAATCTGTGAGCTGTCATCTCAGTGTCAGGCCCCATCTCTCGAGGGGGCAGAGATGCACAGCCCTACACGGAGACCTGTCAGCCTTCAGACAGCTTCTTCAGGAGTCTGTTGCTCTGACTTGCGACATCATCCAGTTAGAGCTCCTACTGTCCTTTGTGCGCTGGAGAAAAAAAAAAAAGCTTTCTGCTGTGTCTGACACAGGCAGAGCTTCTCTGAGTCTAACGCACAGGTAACTCCCTCCCTTTCTCCTCCTCACCCACAGGAGGGTCTTGTCATTCAGTAATCTGATGCAGAAGGTCCGAGTGGGCAGGATGTTGCATTTCGGCCAAGCACCTAGGCAAGACTGATGTGGATGGCCCCTGGCCATCCTTTGAAAAGCAAAACAAGTATAAGGCACCATATAGCAATGACCAGGCTGCTACACCAGCAAGCGATACAGCACCACGTGTGGTCCCAGGCACTGCAGGTCAACTTGGCCCCATGAGAAGCAGTCCTCTGACGCCACGGCCAGGATGCCAATTCATCACTGGCTTTCTCAGGCCAAAAGCAGATGTAAGTCAACATTTTTCAAGAGGTTAGTTACCATGCTCTATGCACAGGTGAATTTCCCAACAGGCTTAAGCACAGCACCTTATCTGCCATGCACAGCAAGAGGCTGCTGATGGAGGGATGAGTAGAGGCTCCATCGTGTCAGTGACTTAGCCCCAAGTTATTTTTCTCCCATAGTGATGTGGGTTTTATAAAAAACAAATGATTCACTCATTCTTTTATTCCTTCATCCTGCAATTATTTATGCTTTTCAATGTTATGGAGGCTGGCAACAGCTGGGAAAGGTGTTGTGAGCAGGTGGAATTGGATTGAGACGCTAAAAGCAAGCAAGGAAGTAAAGCAGGAGTAGAACAATCCTCTGTGTGTGTGTGTGTGTGTGTGTGTGTGTGTGTGTGTGTGTGTTAATGGGGGAGCAGGTGCATAGGCCCTGGGGTGACAGAGGACATGCCATGCATGAAAAATAGCTAGCAGGCCACCGTGACTGCGGTGGGGTGAGCGAGTGAGAGACAACACATGGAGCGTCTGCCTGTGTTTTGTCATTACCAGATACTCTGAAGAGGGTAATGACATCAAATGACCTGCTGTCCACAGTGAGATGATGCAACATCTCAGAAGGAAACAGATTAAATCTGGATGACCAGGGGATTCTGGAGCCCTGGAAGCTGCTGACAGTGAATAACAAAGTAGTAAAGCTGACGGAAAGAACAAAACACATATGATCTGACACTTGATCACAAGTTCAACTATGGTCAAGCCATTCCCATGAGACCCTCTTGGCTGTCCCCCAAACGTTGTGAGCGCCCCCTTCTGCTTGTCCACTTGTTATTTATTTGAGAGAACCCAGGTGGAGCTATACGGGAGGGCAGCTATCTCTAACAGCTGCACCCTGGCCTGAAAGGTGCAGGGGCCCTGATTGTAACCCAAAATGAAGAACTTTGCAACATTTAAGTATCCTGCAAATCCATGTTCATATGGTCAGATCAACTTCATTAAAAATCCACTTTAGTCAGACAATTTGGTGTGAGCGGGGAAGTCACATACAACAAAACCAACCTGTGTTTAGGTTTCAGTCTTTGCTCAGTGCAGTAGCTGGAGCTTAAACATCACTTGTCTTGAGTTAGACCTTAATGACATATGACAGGGAGCTATACCCATCATTTGTTAATGGATGGTTTTAGGTGTTCACCTCCCAGAAAATTAAATGTTGTATGTGAGGACTCTCCCATTGTGCCAGCCAGGATGCATTCCAACACACACACACACACTTCCATCTACGCCCCATTAAAGGGACCCCAAAACTCAGGCATCCTTGTAGATGGAAACGTTTCACCCAGTGCATACATGCCTTCAATTTATTTTTCAAGATCATGTTCCAGGCATTCTGTTTCTGGAAGGGAGGGGACCTGAGCAATGCTGATGGCCCTGAACTCTGCCTGCTTTCCCCGGGGCAGAGGCTGTGATGCCGACCCACTGTGTGGATTAGGCACACATGAACACCCTGGAAGGGAGGCCTTGTGGAGTTCAGAGAGGTCAGGTGGGGGCTGAAACCCAGGAGTGACAGTCTGGTCTGCGCAACTGTCTTAGAGAATGGGAAATATATGCGTTCTGGCCTCACTGGCAGGCCTGGGTTCTCTCGTATCCACAACTCGACAATTGAGTGGTTGTGGCCAAGTGCCTCCCTCTGTCGCAGCCTCTGAGTCTTCATGGTCCTCATGGATACAGTTGCCATGAGGACTGGAAACAGCATAGGAGCAGCACAGAAGACCCTAACATCACTATATCGGAGGACTAGCAGCCTCAACCTCATCACCAGGGAGCTTGTTGCAAATGCAATCTCAGACTCTATAGTCAAATTCGGCAGCTTCACCCAAGGGATTCTGCTACACTCTGGAGTTGTAAAGGCAGGAGGTCTCCACCACAGGATTACTGTAAACTGACCCCGGGCTGCCAGGCGTTGGTGGCCAAGGTTCACAGTCCCCACCTGAAATCTCAATGGACTTTTCAGCCAGCCTTCCTGATGCAGCAGATCCTGTACTTTCTGGCCTATGAACTATCTGCTTCAGTGCACCCTGGATGCAGCCCAGGGGAGAAGTTCAACAGGTCTGATTATTGTGATCAACTGAAAGATCTCTAAAACACTGGGTGAGATGGGTCAGACCAACTTCTGAGCATCAACAACATAGCAAGGCCCAGTGTGATGGCTCAGTGGCTAAAGCCTCACCATATGGGTGTCAATTCATATCCTGGCTGTTCCACGTTCCATCTAGCTCCCTGCTTGTGGCTTAGAAAAGCAGTAGAGAATGGCCCAAAGCCTTGGGACCCTGGCATGGGAAACCAGGAAGAAACTCCTGGCTCCTAGCATTGGACTGGCTCAGCTCCAGCCACTGCGGCCATTGGAGAGTGAACGAGCAGATGGAAGTTCTTTCTTTCAGTTTCTCCTTCTCTCTGTAAATCTGATCTGCCTTTCCAATAAAAATAAATAAATAAAAACACAGACAAGGGGCACTCACAGAAAAACAGAAACATCAAGTGCCTTCGCCTGGCAGAGAAATAAAAGCTGGCAAATTGATCTCTGGCCTCCCCAGTTGCATAGGTTTCTAAGTGGCTTTACACTGGCATCAAGCTTGGCAGCTTGTTTATCTGCCCTCACCATTCAATAGCCCTGGACAGCAGGCTTCCATGCTTTTACATACACCATGGGCAGAGAAGGTCTCTTTTTTGTGCTGCTGCCAAATACACTTCTGGCAGGCAGCAAGCATCAGCCGACCTCACTGTGGCTGACACGTGAGTGTGGGAGTTGCGTGCTTGCCCAGAGTGCACGGGCAGACGGGGAGGGTGGTGCCGGGGGCTCTGCTCTTGCCTTAGCCTGGTCTACTGGGCCGCTGGCGTTTCCTTGCAAACGATCGGGCAGGTGGCACCATCCCCTTGTGAGGTGCCTCCACGGCACTGGATTTCCCCTCCAAAGTGCCTGCACTTTCGCTGGATGCTTACTGTGTGGCATGCAGCAGCTTAAAGATATCCAGGAAGGAGGGCGTTCAATGGCTCTCCTCAACAGAGTCCAGCCAGCAGGTGTGGTGAATATACAATCAAATCTTGCAGAAGTAACCTGATCCCAATTAAAATACAATGAAGTAAACCCCAAGAAACCCATCAGCCTAAATATGTGCCAGCTGTAAGAGATAATGCCTGTTCCTGCATTGCATTGTATCAGCTGCAATGGGTGCCCAGTGGTTTTTTTCCTTAAGAGCCATATTGAGCTTTGTCTGCCCCCAAAACAACTGCAGGGAACACATTTCGTTTCTTAATCACGCAGAGAACACTCAGCAGAAATACACTTCTTGCCAGAAAGAAAAACAACAGGGAAGAAAGTCTTTTACAAAGCACCTCCTCCTGACCTGGTTCACACCAGGCTCAGGGCATGGCTTCATGGAGCTGAAAATCAGGTGCTTCTGCGAGACCCCGGACACCAATGTGAGTGCCCCAGCCTGTCACTCCTGCCTGCCTTTGGAGCAAGATGGATGGGTTGCACTCTTGCAGAATGAGTGTCGTTTGGTGGAGAGTTTTCAGAAGCACCGTTAGTGTCTTTGACAGGTTACAGGACTGAATTCTCCTTCCCTTTCTGTGTGTGCACACGTGCGTGTGTGTGTGTTGCTTGCTTCAGGGTGTCGGCTCAAGCAGTGCCACAAAAAAAAAAAATCCCCCTAAGAAGGACACTTGCCAATTGGAGGTGTCATGGCACTTCTTTCCTTCACCATCCTGGCACACGAGATTTGGGAACCGGGCACTTGAACGGCTGTTCCTTCCATGGGCATCCAGGAGGTGGGCAGGTTCCCAGGTCCCTCCTCCCTGCTCTCAGGTAAGGTGGCTTGGGTTGCTGACCCAGCACGCAGCCAATGAAGCAGATGATGAAGGGAGAGGCCTTACCTGCTGATGCAGTAGAAAGCCACGAGTCGGAATAAATCTGCAAAACTGATTCCTGAGCCTTCCAGGGAAAAAGCTGCAAAAGAGAGATGGGAAAGCAGCTGAGTGCCCCGAGTGCATCCTGGGAAAGCAAGTAAGCGCCCGTATAGCTTATTAGAACCAGCTGTGAGGAGGAGGCGGTACAGCTGGAGTAAGCAGTCACAACAGAGCCTGGAGGCTCCCCCCACTCATGTCCGGCACACGCTCCAATACTTGGTAAACACGGCTTGCACAACCAAGCCCAGAACCCAGAGTTGGGCAGGGAGAGGCAGGGCCAGAACAACAACCACAGCCGGCCCCTGCTAGGACATAGATCTCCTGGGTCAAAATAGGGTCCCCTCTGGCAAAGGCACAGAGCAAATGGAAGGCAGACTCTGCAGGATAACACAAAGCAAGCTCCCTTAGCTTTTGCTTCAATTCCAGCTGATGAAAGACTCTCAAACTTTTTCCGTAGACTATCTCCTCCAACCTCCCTCGGCTGGCCCCGTGTACGCTTCCTAACAGGTGCATCTAGCCAGGTGGTCTCCGTTCTTTGTCTTCTGAATGGGGAAGCATTCAGTATTGACTTCAAACAGTCATGATTTGCCAGCACCCCTGGGTCCCTTCGGCCAACACTTCAGCCAGTGGTTCCTCCAAATCGATGCATACGCCACCCTCCACCCAATGCAATTTCTTCCCTTGCAAAATAATTCATGCCCACATTTATTTTTGCTTAACTTACGTTATTTTGCTCAATCAGTGTTTCCTTGGCACCCCAAAACACATGCCTATCTCTCTGTCACATTCATACACTCACTCACACACACACACACACACACACACACACACAGTACATCTCCAGTTTGATAGAAAATGGGCCACTGTGATGGTGCAGTGGATTAAGCTGCCACTTGTGCAGCATCCTGTATTAGCATCCAGTTCTAGTCCGGACTACTCTGCTTCTGATTGAAATTCTTACTCCTGTGCCTGGGAAAGAAGTGGAGGATGATCCGAGTACTTGGGTCCCTGTCACCCATGCAGGAGAGCGAGATGGGATTCCCTGGTGGTTGTGGCCACAAGTCAAAAATTTCCCTCACCATCTCTCTGTCACTCTGCCTTGCCAATAAACGAAACAAATCATTAAGATAAAAGCAGAAACCTGAGGCTGGTGTTTGGCACAGCAGTGAAATGACTGCTTGGGACAGCACATCCCAAATCGTGGTGCCTGGCTCCAGTTCTGACCCCTCTACTTCCACTCCAGCTCTCCGCTCATGTACATCCAAGGAGGTAGCAGGTGGTGGCTCCAGCTCTTGGGATCCTGATACCCGCGTGGGAGACCTGAATGGTGCTCAGGACTAATGACTTCAGCCTGGACCACACTGGCTGTTGCAGGCATTTTGGGAGTGAACCAGTGGGTGAAAAGATCTTTCAATTTCTCTGTAGTTCTCCCTCTGTCTTTCAAATAAAGTGAAGATAAATACATAAACACATGTTAAGTGTGAGTTTGTTATTGTGCCAAAAATATTACGGACCAAAAGGGTTTTTTCCCCCTCATAGTACATGAAAAAGCATTATAGAAAACTGCCCATGAATTTCAAAATGTTTTGGTCCCAAAATTATTTTATAATTTTAGTCCCATTTTCGTATGTTTACTGCAATGCACTGTGGTAAATGGGATGGAGCTGATTTTTGGACAGGTTAACTCCTCTCACTCAGTCTCGGTTTTCTCATCTGTAAAAAGCATGCCTTCCAGAACGGTAGCAGAAGGAATTTACATGTATACCAAAAAAAAAAGGGGGGGAATAATTTATATGATGGAGGTACTGTCATTTTTGAGATCTCAGTGAACAAGGAGGCCATCACAGATGTGGCCATAGCAAGAAAAGGAGGAGGTGTCCAGGCCAACTTTTCATGGTTAACTGAAAGTATTAGAAGGGATTTAAAAACCAGGTGAGCAGGAGTGAGGCACACCCAGCCTGCTGGCTGAATGAAAGCTGCAAAATCCCTTGGCCCAGCCCTGCCAAGGAAAAGGCAGGTGGGACTCTAAAGTGGACAAATCTACAGCAGGCTACTTTTAAAAAAGAGAGAGAGATAGCTTTTGGGCGGTAGGAGCCCAAGCACTTAAGCCATCCTCCACTGTTCTTCCAGGTGCATTAGCAGCTAGCTGGCTCAGAAGTGAAGTACTCAGGGATTTCAACTGGTACCCATATGGGATGCTGCAGTGGTGGCTTTACCTGCTATGCCACAATGCCAGCTGTGGTGGCAGGCTAATTCTAAGTTGTTAATACCATGTGGCCTGCGAATGGCCCTTAGCAGGCCACCTGAGAGGAGGTGAGTGTTGGGGTTCAGCCGTCGCTTACTCCTCCTGGTAAATCACCCTGAGAGGAAGCAGTCATGGCTCATATGCTTGGCATCCTTCCAATCACATAAGAGGGAGGGTGACACCACATGGAGTTCCGGGCTCTCGACTGAAGCCCTGGCTCTTGTGGGCATTAGGGAAGTGAACAGTGGAAGAAGGATCTTCTCTCTCTCTCTTTCAAGCAAAATAATTAAATAACACACTTTTGAAAAGTTATCTGTCTCATTCTGGCTATTAGGCTTCCAAAAGCCAACCTGGAATCCATTCATGTCTTAAATTCCTTGTCTTCGGAAAAGTTAGTGTGGAATGCAGTCCTGGCTGGTTCTCTCCTGACATCATTCCATTATTTGCCAAGTTTCACTTTCTTAGGGCCCTTCTGCTGGGAAAACATCTCCCCAGCAATTGCGGTAAGGTGTCAGGAGCCTGCTCGGTTCTGCTCCCTGCCTCGCCTCTCTCTGCAGCCTGGGATCTGCACAGAAACCTCCTGGGCGAGCACAGCCATCTCCTGCCCCTTCTCAGAGGCTGGCAGCATGACACAACTGCTGGTGCACTTTCCTACTATGACCAGGTTCTTCCACGAGCAACCAGCCACCAGCCACCAGGGAACCTCAAACTCAAGTCCTGAAGCCAGCTCTCCCTTCAAAACCTCTGCAGTTTCTGTTCCAAAGGGGCGGACCCTGCCTCTGGGGGGGTTGCATTTCCCAGCAGTCCGCACAATCGTGGTGGTGACTGCTGGGAGGGACCACGCCTGCTCAGGGTTACTGATGTGCAAGACAACGTGCTGGCACACACCCAGGCATGAGAACCTCTCCAAGGCTTTGTGGCTGCAGCCCTCCCTGCAACTCAGTCATCTGCAAAGCCCGGAACCAAATCCATACTCTGGTTAACCATGCAAGGGGCAAAGACTCTACCTCGATTAGGCCCTTCCCACCTGCCAAGCAGACCAGTGCACACAGGTGGCTTAACTGACCTTTAGTAGCTCTGAGATGACCACCAACCCCATTCTACAGATGAGAAAATTGAGGCTTTCTGAGGTGGGAGTGGGTAATGGGGCTCAAAGCTCCCTTCACTTCCCTTCCCTCAGGAGCCCCGGACCCTTCATCCACCAACCCAGGCTGCTCCTGCACCACCCACTTACTGTAGGTGCTTTCCTTGATGGCAAACTCCTTCAGTGGTGTTCCAGACTCAGGGGGCAGGCGAAGAGAAAGGACTTTCTTCTGCATCTTGCTGGATTTACGAACCAGGAAGATCTAGGGCAGGGAAAAGAAAAGTCAAGTTCCCGAAACATCTAGAAGGTTAGATACTGGCACTATGACATCCTTGAATAAGACTCCATCCATAGCAGGATCACACAGCTGGACACAGGCCACCACTGCCAGAGGGAGGAGTGCTCTGAGAGCACGCTGGAGCCCTGCCGCCAATACCTGGCTCTGCAAGGCCCACACTTTCCGTTTGCTAGAAGCTTCTGTTTTTGAGCTGAGAGCTCCCCTGGTCTATAGAAACACCCTCTGTCTGGTGACTGCTTTCCTCCTGGGATTATGCATGTTCCACCCATGTCTCCCAGGGTTGATGAAACAAGGTACTATTGCTTCCAGCAAAGGGGGTAAGTGGAGAGCTCACTGGTTAACTGAGCTCTGGGATACATTCAAAATAGGAATGGGAATTTACGGCCAATAGTAAACAGGCAGAAATTATTCCTTTGAAAGTTTTCTTTATATTAAAACATAAATTTGAGGGCAAATGCAATGGCTCTATTGGCAAATCCTCCACCTGTAAGTGTTGGGATCCCATATGGGTACTTGTTTGTGTTCCAGATGCTCCACTTCCCATTCAGCTCCCTGTTTGTGGTCTGGGAAAACAGAGGAGGATGGTCCAAAGCTTGGGACTCTGCATCCATGTGGGAGACCCAGGAGTAGCTCTTGGCTCTGGGCATCAGATCGGCTTAACTCTAGCCATTGTGGCCACTTACTTAGGGGGTGGACCAGCAGAAGGAAGACTTTTTTTTTCTCTTTCTCTCCTTCTTTCCGTAAGTCTGCCTTTAATAAGAAGTAATAAATCTTTATAAAACAAATTTCTATCATTTACATAAAAATGGTTCCCATGAGAGGACATCATCTTGAATGACATAAGCCAAACCCAGAAAAAAAATACTGCCCATTCTCCCTCCAATATGGGAGCTGATATTGAAAAAAAAAAAAATCAAAAAGAAGTACTTGTATGTATCAGTTTTGCTGCAGATACAGTGCTTTATCAAACTTCTTTTAAATCTTTGTCAAACTGTTAAGAATGATATGCTTTGGGTACCAGCGTGGTGACTCTAGAGGCTAGTCCATCTGCAAGCACCAGCCTCCTCCCAGCCTCCTCCATATGGGCACCAGTTCAAGTCCTGGCTGCTCTGCTTCCCACCCAGCCCTCTGCTTCAAGAAAGCAGCAGAGGACGGCCCATGTTCTTGGGACTTTGCACCCAACGGGAGAACTGGAAGCTGCTCCTGGCTTCAGATTGGCTCAGCTCTGACTATTGTGGCCATTTGGAGAGTGAACCAGCAGATGCAAGCTTTTTCTCTTTGTCTTTCTATGGTTTTAATCATCTGTGGCTTTGGTACTCTATAGGAGTGAAATTATCTTTCTGATGATGTTCATCTATACGCCTTGCCTACATTCCTGAGGAAATTTGTAGGGTTATTTTTATATTTTATTTGTTTAACTCTTTATTTAGAGGAGCATTAAGCTTTTAACTATCATGTAGATTAAATGTTTGATCTCAGGGCTGGTGCTGTGATGTGGTGAATAAAGCTGCTGCCTGTGACACTGGTTTGAGTCTCAGCTGTTCCATGTTTGATCCAGCTCCGTTAGTGCACCTGGAAAGGCAGTGGAAGATGGCTCCAGTCGCTGGGCTCCTGTGCCCACATGGCAAATCTAGAAGAGGCTCCGGGAGCTTGGCTTCAGCCTGGCACAGCCTCTGCCATTATGACCATTCGAGGGTTGAACCAGTGGGACACAAGCTATTTCTCTCTGTCTCTTCCCTTCTCTCTTACTGTGCCTTTCCAATACTTAAAATTAGATGTTTGAAAAACCTGAACCAAACAAAAAAGTTACCTAAAAAAATTTGAACATTTAACGGAAAAACATGTGAATGTTTTATTTCTCTGGGAAAATGAGATGATGTGACAATGCCAGATGTGCTGGCAACCACCTGCTGGAGCTCAGACGGAGCTGCTCAGTTAGGGCCGCTCCAAGGCACAGGGCAGTCCACCCCAAGGCTGTCCATGGGGTCCCACTTGACTCTCCCACAGTTCCCTCCAATTCCCTCCAGCCTTCAGAAAGGTGGACATTAGCCCTGCCACTAGGGCTGCCTCAGGCCACCTTCTGGCCTTCATCATGGCAGAAGGGAATGTGCCAGCCCTGTGCCACTGTGTAGGTTGTACACTGCCCCACTCTGGGAGATTCCATCTAACTGGTCTACCAGCCAATGGTGCTGTTCCACAGGTTTCCATTTTTCTATCCCATATTCGCTCTTTTCCTCATGTCTAGTGAGTAGTTCCCTAAAATCACTTTCTCCCACTCCCTCCACCACCCAAGGACATCCTCCAATAGCAACTTCCAGGGAAGAGGTGATCAATGTCCCTGAGACATCCTCAAGCTGAAGCCGATGTTTCCTAGATCATATCTGGCTGAGTAGGAGGCCACAGCACTGCTAAGAGAGAGCCTGCGTGTGTGTGTGTGTGTGTGTGTGTGTGTGTGTGTGTGTGTGTGTGTGTGTGTCTGTCTGTCTGTCTGTCTCAGCGTCATTCCCCTTCTTTGGAGCATAAAATTCTGGGCCTTATTTCCAGAAGGGCTATAGCCTTACCCCATGGTAATGGCCCTATAGGGGCCATTCTGCCCCTTCTCTTGGTACACAGCCACATGCATTCATTCCTGTATCTATCTTTGAGGCTGCTGCCAAGCCTACAGTACTTACAATTGCGGGTCTGTGTAGAAATAGCCATGGACCCTTTCCTGGGCTGTCCATATCTTACAGGAGGACACCCCTAAAAGCTCTCTTCACTGATGCCAAAGGGCCAGTTGTCCCAACCCTGTTTCTGCATATGTGTCCATCTGTTCTTCCTGCTGGCCACCACAGGGCTCCCCGTGCTCCACAGTGCTCCCACCATTAGCCTGGCGCCCCCAGCCTGCCTGATCTCCCCAGGTAGGAGCAGGTAGGAGGATGGAGAGAATCCAAGGCAGGTTTCACCCGCCAGGGACAAGCAGCTACTATCGGGTGGGGGATGGTGGAACTGCCACCCAGCAACATGCCAATTTCCTCCTGCAGAACTTCTGACTGAAGTGCAACAGCAGACAACCCCTGGCATGCATGGGGCCGCCCCGAGTGGGTTCCTGATCCTATGACCCTGCAAGGCAGCCACAGCCTGTGTGCTGGCCCAGGAATAGTCTCAACGGAGAAGATCAAACACAGTGTGTGCCAACAGGGGTTTTGGTGCTGTCTGTTTCCGTCTTTGAGAGAAAAAGAAATTAAGACTCAAACTTAATTTTGTGGCACCACCCAACTAGCTACCGTTGGACTTTTTCTCTTTGTCTCCCCGTTCATTTCTTAATCTCTACTGTGTTAAGTCTTTTTAAATCTGTGATTTTTCTGCAGTTTCCATTTGTTCGGAAGTAGACATTTTCTGCCCCAGTGGAAATGTCCCATATTCGGAGTGATCCGATGTGGTAGCCCCCCTGTGGCTTATGGGCATGAAAAACGTGCCCAGTACAATCGACAAACTGAATTTCTGACTTACTTCAATTAATCTACATTGCAGCAGCCACAGGGCACAAAGGGCTACTACATTTCTCGTACCAACCAGGATCTACTAATGACTGGGTAGCATTTCTCAAGAAATCTTGATGAGATAGTGGGTCCTGGATACACATAGATGAAGAAAACTTAAATCAGATTCTGAACTTGTGGGAAGCCAGTGATAAATGTAAAAAGAAAAAAAAAATAGATGATGTTAGCATCCAAGTCCGTCATGGACACATACACTTTGAAAGTTGGATCTCATATTGAATGTATGGAACATCCCAGGGTCAGGATGACAACAGGGCAACAGGCACCGAGGGACCTGAGGCTCAGCTTCACTGTCCAGTTTCAAGAAGCCAGGCACAGGGCCCCTAGCCAGGGGTCTTCTGTATAATAACCCAGCAGACCCCCACGCTGCTCCCTGCTGAGCTCTGTACTTCACATGGTAACAGAGTAGATGAAGACAAAGAGCTGCCCCCAGAAGTCTCCAGGATTTTCTTTCATTGTAATTCCAGGTCCACATTAGGAACTATGCTCCCTATAAGCTGGGAAGAACATTCTAGAACAAACACCAAGTTCTACAGGCAGCAGCAGTGGCTCTGGCTGCCTCCATCCATCCCCCGAGGTTACGAGTCTTACCCCCGGAGGTTGGGACTGTAGAACTTGGGCTGCCTCCTCCTCACTCAGACTCAGCTGCAACCATATGGGGTGGGTGTGGAGGAGCCGGTCCAGGATGCTGAGCCTGTTGGAGAGGCTGTCATAGCCGGAGTCCCGGGGACAGGTCTTCATGTCCTTATCCTCAGGATAGCCATCCTTGTGCCTTACCATGCTAGGAGAAAAGAAAGACAGGGGTCAAATGTGGTCCTTCCACAACCAGGATACTCCTGTAAGCTCAAATCCAAAAGTGGAAAACATCTGGTCTGTGTGCCTTTGATGACCTGGAAAGTCAGTTGGTCTATGGCCCAGTGGCATGGCCTAGCAGCTAAAGTCCTCGCCTTGAACGCCCCGGGATCCTGTATGGGCGCTGGTTCTAATCCCGGCTGCTCCACTTCCCTTCCAGCTCCCTACTTGTGGCCTGGGAAAGCAGCTGAGGATGGCCCAAAGCTTTGGGACCCTGTACCCACGTGGGAGACCAGGAAGAAGTTCCTGGTTCCCGGCTCCCAGCACTGGCCATTGTGGTCACTTTGGGCATGAATCATCGGACGGAAGGTCTTCCTCTCTGTCTCTCCTCCTCTCTGTATATCTGACTTTGTAATAAAAATAAATAAATCTTAACAATCACTTTTAATTTTTTGGTTGCCATCCTTTCTAGACTGAAAGCTTTCTGGAAGCAGACATGCTCATTTCATCCTGTATTCCTGCTACTGAAGGAGAGAACTTTGCGTTCCACAGAACAGACCTCCTATTCCTAATCCATTTTCAGAAGTGCCTAAGCAGCCTACACAGTGGTTTAGGCTTTGTCTTCTGGAATGAAGATCTCCTACTCTGAGGAGAGAACTCCCAACACCGAGCCACACCTACGGCAGCCAGGCCGCCGGATGCTCAGGGCCTCTAGCTGCAACATACGACTACGGTGCTGCTCCAAAGGCAAAACTGCACTCACACACGCATGGTACCAAATGATGGGATTTTATTTCCTCTTGCAAACCTATGTTTCTATCATGCACTTATAATAATACCTTAGGGTGGAAATGGCATTGTGCTGCTCAAAAAATCCTATTGACATCATTAGTCAATGAGTAGAAATAGCCCCAGCACTTCTACCAAATGACAAGTGGCTAGACAAATTGTGGAGCACCCACACAATGGAACACTCCTGAACACGAGGAGGAACAAAGGACTGACCCCACACAAAGCACATACAAAGCTCCGAGAGAGGAAATTATTCTGATGCCAAAAAATATGTTTTTTTTAAAGATTTATTTTTTTATTTGAAAGTCAGATATACAGAGAGGAGGAAAGACAAAGAGGAAGATCTTTCGTCCGATGATTCACTCCCCAAGTGGCTGCAACGGCCAGAGCTGCGTCGGTGAAGCCAGGAGCCAGGAGCCTTCACCAGGTCTCCCACATGGTAGTGCGGGTCCCAAGGCTTTGGGCCGTCCTTGACTGCTTTCCCAGGCCACAAGCAGGGAGCTGGATGGGAAGCGGAGCAGCTGGGATACAAACTGGTGCCCATATGGGATCCTGGCATGTGCAAGGTAAGGATTTAGTCACTAGGTTACTACATCGTTGGGCCCATACACTTTCAATGGGTGACTCTTCTGTCATGTGACAAAGCATAATGATCTTGGTGTCCCAGAGAGATCAAGTAGCAGGTGATCCATTTCATCTCCATTTTGTAAGCAAACACTGAGGCCGAAGAAATTATTGAACTATTGCTGAGCTAGACCGGAAGCAGTGGTCTCATGTGCTCAGCCAGCTTTGTGGATAGCAGACCAGAAGTGTGAATCCTCCCTGTGGGGTGTCTACTAGGTGCTTGACCCCTTCCAAGACACCCTCACCTCCTGCCATCAGCCCTGAAGCATGGGTGCTGACTTAGGTCCTAGGATCCTAGGAACCGGTAGTTTCAGAATGGCTGAGTACTTTGCTCTTGCCCATGCCCAGCTGTAATCCATGAATGCTGGGCACTGGCAGCCTGCTCCCTGCCCCCTACTCAGAACTGGCCCTGTCCCTGGCTCTCAAGGGGCAGGCCGTCAACATGGCTCGGAAGCAGCCGGGAGGAACATCTGAGCTCCCCTTTGTTCCTCAAGTGTGAATTTGGCTTGGGATGCACACGGCATTCACAAACCTGAGCCTAAGGAGACCCACATGTGGGGCCCAGGGAAAGCCTTCCTTGCTGATATGGACAGACAAGGAAACCCAACATTAGGGAAATGTGGGTCATTCTGGGCGGACAACTCCACCCTGAAGAGGTGACACTGCCTTCAGAAGTGCAGGCTGACCCCAAGAGCCAGAGTGTCCGTGTCAAACTCTGTTTTAGGTAACTGGATTCACACAGCACCTGGTGAGAGTCACAGAGAGCACTGAATTTTTATTTTTGAATATTCAACTTGAACTTCACCATGTCTGTTTTTTTTTTTTTTTAATTGGAAATTCAGATATACAGAGAGGAGGAGAGACAGAGAGAAAGATCTTCCGTCCTTTGGTCCATTGGTTCATTCCCCAAGCAGCCGCAATGGTTGGAGCTGAGCCGACCAATTTAGCTAATGTGCCTGGGAAATACAGCGGAAGATGGCCCAAGCGGTTGGCCAAGTGCTTCCATGAGGGAGACCTGGACGCAGCTCTGGGCTCTTGGCTTTGGCTGGGCCATTGCAGCCATCTGGGAAGTGAACCAATAGAATACACATCTCCAACTCCCTCTCTTTCTCTGTAGAATTTTGACTTCCCAATTAAAAAAAAAAATCTAGACAAAAATGCAACAATAACTCTGATCAAGTTCTGCATCTTGTTTTGTTTCTGTGGAAGGCTAAGGAGGCAGGTGGATCACAGGCCATGGAAAGAAATCTGAGTGGCCTCAGGCTGGTCATTGTTGACCAAAATCAAATGCAATGGCCTTTAACACAGCCACTGTAACGCTCATATACACCGAGAATAGATCAATGGACACTTGTTTCTTCCTTTAGAAGGGTATGTCCTGTGACTCAGTTCTTTGAAGAAGCTGAAATCCCTTTGCTGTGACAAACGACTTCACTGTGAAAGCCATGGCCCAGACACGAAGGCGGTAAGTAGACTCAGGAGCCTCATAAAGGTCCAAGCATAAATTAGACTTTGTCTTTGCACACAAGCAGGTGCCTTGAGTCAGCCAGCCGTTGAAGGTTCACAGTGTGTTATTACAGGGTACTAGGGCTTTTATCAAGGGGAGCCTACAGGGCAGAGAACCAAGCGACAATGAATGTGCAGTGCACACTTTTCAGGTGCCCCAGAGCCTCTTTATTACACTCTTGTCTAGGACCACTGATAGACAAACTTCTTGCCTTGCGGGGGACAACTCCAGATGGTACTGGGCATCTGAGCTGCCTGCATATTAGGCAGAGCAGTGCTGTGGCCTAGCGTTCTCCATCCTCATTGTCCTACCCCTGTCCCCATGCACAGGCTGACCCCAAGAGCAAGAGTGCCCATGTCAAACTCTGTTTCTAGGCAACTGGATTCACACAGCACCTGATGAGATGCACAGAGAGCAGTAATTTCTTTTTTTATTCTTTTTATTTTTTTTTTGAGCATTCAACTTGAACTTCAGCAAGCCTTTTTTTTTTTTTTAAGTGGAAATTCAGATATACAGAGAAGAAGAGAGACAGACAGGAAGGTCTTGAATCCATTGGTTCATTCCCCCAGCAGCTGCAATGGTCCGAGCTGAGCTGACCCAAATCCAGGAGCCAGGATCCTCTTCCAAGTTTCCCATTCAAGTGGAAGGTCCCAAGACTTTGGGCTGTCTTCTATTGCTTTCCCAGGTCACAAGCAGGGAGCTGGTTGGGAAGCAGGGCCGCCAGGATTAGAACCAGTGTTCATACGGGATCTCAGCGCATGCAACGTGAGAACTTGAACCACTAGGCTACCATACCAGGCCTAAGAGCAGTGATTTCTAACTCAGAGGTCTCCATGATAATGAGAGGAGGCTTGTGAGAGGCAAACTGGTATGTAATACTCTGGGAGATGTCAATGATGGCCTGGGCACAGGGAGATGGCTGGAGGTCCAGCCTCAGGACTCCAAGCCTGGGACTCTTCTCTTGACTTGCCTTGCCTTGTTTTTCTGACCTGAGAGTGGTAATCAACAGTTCCCGCTTCTCCCAGCCAGGCAGTAATTGATACAGCATAGGAGGACACTTGAGTGGACACTGAAGCTAATAATCATCACGCTATTAGGAAACAGGACACTCACAGTCCCGCTCCATAGATCACCTAGTGATTTTCAAAAATGAAAAGGGGATCTGGCTTTATTGCAGAGCAGGTTAAGTCACCAGCATCCCATACCAGACTGCTGGTTGAAGTCCTGGTTGCTCCATTTCTGACCCAGCGCCCTGCTGAAGCACCTGCAAAGCCAGAAGATGGCCCAAGTGGTTGGGTCTCCGTCACCCATGTAGGAGATCTGGATGGCGCCCCCGATTTACAGCTTTGGTCTGGTTTAGCCCTGGCTCTTGTGGCCATTCAGGGAGTAAGCCAGCAGTCCGAAGATGTCTCTATCACTCTTTCTTTCTCCTTATTTCTCTGCCTCTCAGATAGACGGATTACCTTGCAATGGAGAAACCCAGCAGACACCACAGTAACCAAGTTATTATCTTCCCTGCCCTGCCAAGTGATCAATCTTAACTCTTCCAAACTCAGGGATTCCATGCAAGACTCCCAGCGCTTCAGAAATGTCAACATCAAATAAATCAGCAACTTATCCAATGGATTAAGGATTTGGAAGAGGATTATTACAAATAAAAACAAATAGAATGAAAACTGCATTGAACTACGTCTTTATCTCAAACAGTGTCAGAATTAAAAAAAAAAAAAAATTGCTATAAGAGGGCCCAGCACAATAGCACAGTGGCTAAAGTCCTCACCTTGAAATGTACCGGGATCCCACAAGGGCATCGGTTCTAATCCCAGCAGCCCCACTTCCCATCCAGCTCCCTACTTGTGGCCTGGGAAAGCAATCGAGGACAGCCCAAAGTCTTGGGACCCTGCACCTGCATGGGAGACCTGGAGGAAGTTCCTGGATCCTGGCTTCGGATTAGAGCAGTGCCAGCCATTGCCATCACTTGGGGAGTGAATCAATGGATGGAAGAGCTTCCTCTCTGTCTCTCCTCCTCTCTGTATATCTGCCTTTCCAATAAAAATAAATATATA